GAATTTATATCAACTTAGCTTCATGAATACAAAAGTACTCTTTTCCTTTAGGTCTGTCCTCATTTTCCAGTTATCACTGCAATAAATCACATGTTTATGCATTTTGTGCCTCCAAATACAACCTAATGATTCTTTGAAATACATTAATCTTGCAAATTATGTAGAAATAAAATAAGAAATGGATTTTAATAGAATACATTATACATAAAGACAATGGACTATCAGGCACATAAAATGACTATCTTTCATAATTTAGCATCCTATCAGATTTCCCATCAATCTTAAGAAAATGTAATATAGCATGGTTTACATTTCTAGTCTCGCTGCATTTCCTTTTTTTCTGCTTTCTTTGTGCGTGTGTTTATGACTGTGTGCATACCTCTGTATCTGTCCATCATTTTATTTTAAACTTTTTAGAATTACTTTAAAATTAATTATTTACATCTTTTTAGTCATTCTTCTGTCGTAGATTAGATCCTAACCACAGTTTCTCCACCCTCCTCCCCGACCAGTGCACCTTCCTCGCCTTGTACTTCTATCTCTCTTCAGAAAACGGCAGGCTTCCTGGGGTGTCATGTGAACATGGCCTATCAAGCTATCAAGTTGCAGTTAGGACCAGGCAACAGGCACCTCTTCTTGCATTAAGGCTGGACAAAGAAACCCAGTAGGGGAAACAGGGTCCCTAAAACAGGTAAAAGAGTCAGAGACAGCCTCGCCCCCACTGTTAGGAGTCCCACAAGACATTTTCATTGTTCAGACAGCTTCTGTCTCTGGTCTAGAGCTTGCCAAGTAGTCTGGACTGTCTGGCCAGTAGGCTCCTGGAACTGGCTTGGCTCTGCCTTCCCAGTGCTGAGGTACAAATATGTGTTACAGAACCTGGCTTTTTCACATGGCATCAAACTCAGGTCCAGATCTTTACCAATTGGGCCATTTCCCTAGTCCTCTCTGTATTTTTCTCAGTATCTTTTTAATATGGACAATAAAGTATTCAACTCATATTAACACAACTGTAAGTAAAAGAAGTATCATCTGCTAAATGTGTATTATGACCAGATTATTAGGATCCATCATAACTTCCTTTTTAAGTAGGCCATGATGACATCATAGCATTCTCTTGCTAGGATCTGCACAACTCACTCTAGGCTGTGAGCCAGGAAGTATGGCGTCACTGACTTATATTTTGTTGGCTGATGGATGACACCATTACTATGTGCTGTGATTCAGAGCAATCTGGTTCTTGAATTATCTCGCTGGTGTGCACTCAACCAACAGTGAAGGATTTCTTGCTTTTATTGTTTAGGCTCTTCCGTTACTTCCCTTAAAAGACCATACAGAATATGTTACCATAGCTAAAACTCTTTCAAATAATTAACAGAAGCTGTTAAAAGTTCCTTGTATTTTATTGCTGTTAAGTAGGACAAGGTTTTTACATTGTGGTATGGCTCTCTATCCCTGAGGTTTGCAGCATGTGTTTTATGACTGTTTCAATAGCAAGTCTTCTACCCAAGGATCCACGGCTGTTAACAACACACCCCTATTACAATGGCCTGCTTTAATATTCTTCACAATCCACCAAGTGAATATTATCCTTATTTTTGAGGTGAAGGACCAGTGGCTTCAAGACATTAATTCAGACTAAGCTTATGTGGGCAAGGATGTAGCTATTAGGTGAAGAGACAGTCCTAATCTATAAGAAACCTTCAAAATACTCCGGTACTATATTTATCACTAATGTACAGTGTTACCAGAACTACAAAATGTTCATATTTTATGTGAATTTACACATATATTTATCGGTGTTAAGTAGGACAAGGTTTTCACTATTCTGCATCTTAGATCTAAATAGCATTAAGTAGTAAAATGAGAATACGCATATAAGATTTATCTCATTCTCCTGCTCACTATCTTCTAAAGTAGCTTTATGCAGAGGAATCTTGTGAGACAGCTTAAAACAATCTGGAGTGATAACAGTAATTTAAATACATATATTAGGAAATGTTAAAATAAAAAAAATAAAAGCAGGCTGAGCGGAAAAGGATTCAAATCATCAAGAAAAGACACTCAATCCATGTAGAAACAGCATTACACGCCTGTTCTTCGATCTCTTAATATCCCACTTTTGAGTTTTACACTGGGGTATTTAAATGTTTTATCTTCTCACAGTTGCCTTTATCTTGTCAGAATGAACGAAACGGACCCTAGTCTCCAGGTCTCACGCAGACTTCATGACTATGGAGATGGACTATGGATCAGCAATAAGGGGTGGTGGTGCTCACTTTCTCCCTACAGCTGCACAAACACACTGTTCTGCATTTTATGTCTAACTAGCATTAAGTAGTAAAATAATAGCACTCATATAGGAATTTCTGATTCTCCTGCTCATTATCTTCTAATGTAGCTTTATGCAAAGGACTCTTGTGAGACAGCTTAAAACTATCTGGGGGTTTCAGCTCTATTACTTACAGGTAAATCGTTGACCTCTAAACTCAAGAAAACAGTCCAGTGGTTTTTTTTTTTTTTTTTTTTTATCAGTGGATACATTTTAAGTGTTTATTTTATTTTATGTGTATGGATATCCAGTTTGCATGTCTGTCTTTGTACCACATCTGTGCCTGGCGCCCATGGTGCCTCCCTGGAACTGGAATTAGAAATGGTTGTGAGCCACCCTGTAGGTGCTGGAAACTGAACCTGGGCGAGTGGGAAGAGTACCCAATGCTCTTAACTGAGCCAGCTCTGCAGCCTTAGACACAACTTTTTATTTGTTGCTTTATTAATATTGTTTTAGTTAAAATCCTCTTTAAAGGTGTTAGGAATAACTGTAAATTTCCTTTGGAAAAAAAATGATCAATAACAGTTTTAGTTCACTACTAAAAACTGTAACACAGGTGACTTTTTTTTCAAACGAAGAAAATGGCAGTGTTCATTTATCAAAAGTAAAATAAACTTATAAAATTTTAAGTCTTTAATTAAAATATTGTATTAAAGTTTTATTTATATTTATTTATTTATTTATTTATTTATTTATTTATTTATTTATTTAATATTTCATTTTTAATGACAATGTCTTGCTATACAATAGTCCAGGATGGGCTCAACCTTATGATCCTTATCCTCAGCTTTTCAAAGCTGAGATTATAGCCTCATGCTATAAAAACTCATTTTATGAGCTCATAAAAACTGATTTTATGATGAAAATATTTAGATAAGCTATGAGTATTACTTAAAAAAGAAAAATGTAACTACCTTCTTAATCTTTTAATTATAATGGAAAATACAGCCATCTCTATTATTTTGGTCTTGTTATTTTTATCCAGTCTAACAGAAGCTAGGGTGTATGGAAAGGGCTATCCCGCCCTGCATAGACACATGACAAGCCCTTCACAGTATTAGAAGGAATAGGAACCATGAGTGGACATAAAACTTCTAGAAAATAGTGTGGGTTGTTGTTTGTATGTTTGCTTACTAATATTTTTTATTCTTTTAAATGCCATCTCCTGCCAGGTGTGGTGGTGCACATCTTTTTCCAGCACTTGAGAGTAGGATTCGGATTCTAGGACAGCCAAGGCTACTTAGTGAGATGCTGTCTCAGAAAAAACAAAAGCAATAACAAAAAATACTGAATAAATAAGTAAATAAATAAGCAAGTAAGTAAAATAAAAGCCATTGGTCATATTTATTTGGTCTCAGAATAACTGTTATCATAGCTTATGTATGAACTACAAAAGAGAACAGAAGCAGTTAAAAAAGACAGAACATTTCAGAATATTTGTTCATACACTTTTGGGTGTTATACTCTGAAGGCAAAATTAACTTATGTTATAGTTTAGTAAAACAAATGGGTAAGTTCATCAAATCAAAAACAAAGGAGCACAATTAAATGCAATAAAAATCAGTAGCCTGTGTTTCTTATCAGTATCAATCTCATGTGAGAAAAACTGAGAAAATGCTCTAAGTTTAAAGTGACTGAAAAAACTGAACACAGAAAACATGGCCTTGAATTGGATCTGGTGACAAGGAAACAAAACTGTACTGAGGGACATTTTTAGAACCACTAATGAAATTGAAATATGAATGATGGAAACGATTAATTAATTTGATCTTCTAAGGTTCATTTATGAACATTGGCTATCTAGAAGAATAACTTTAATCTTAGTAAACATCAGACACACAGAAGCAGAAGGCATAAAGCGGAATTATAATGTATACAACATCTAAGTGTTTAAATATCTGCATGTGTATGTGAGGAGAGGTAGAAAATTACAAGGCAAATGTTAAAATCTGATGAGTCTTGGAAAATAAATGTGACAATTCTGTGTACTAATCCCTATAATTTTTCTGGAACTCTAATAATAGCTAAAAATCCTCCAATAAGAGTAAAAACTATTATGTGGAGATTTTTCACTGTAAAAGATGAACATAAGTTTTACAAAATGGTAGAATTAGTGGGAGTGCTTTGAACAGTGATCTCGTACCAGAATGCAGAACTGCATACCTTAGCTTTGTTCATCTAAAAACTGCTTGCTACACAATTTTAAAGAAGGAGCCTGCATTAAATTTTGCACAGTGATATCCTGGCAGAGCCTGGTATCAGTTTCATCCATCAGGACTGCACTTGAGTAATAATGGTCTAATGTACAACCTTTCTGCAGGGAATCAATAGCTGATGTGAATACATAAATGCTTAAGGGCTGAGGATGTGCCTCGGTAAGTTTGATGGCCCCAGAACTGCAGAACAAAACAGAAACCTAAAAAATTAATAATATGCACTTAGAATGTACACTGTATTGAAAGCAGAGCTGATTTTAATTTTATTCTTGTGCTTTATAATTTTCTACAATGAAAACAGATTACTTTTCTAGTAAGGAACCAAATTAACTTAAAAAGAGTGAGAGGCTTTACGAGAAGCAACCAGACTTCTTGGAATTTGAATAATACAGCAAAGCATGTTCCATGTCAGTATTTATACATCGTTAGAATTTTTATAAAAGGATCTCACTTACAGCTGATCTTGAAGCTCCACAATGATATATTCTAACTGCTCTTTCTCCAACTTGTGGGCCAGATCAGAATCTTCGATCCTCTGAAGTAGTATTTTATTCTGAGAGACAGATTCAGAAAGTTGGTTCTCACGAAGCCTTAAGAGTTCTTCAAGATAACCCTGGAAATACAGTATCACAGAGATAATGTCAACTGCAAAAATTCTAAGAGATCTTAAGGTAAATGCTGACCGCCTTCAGCATTACTTCCATCTATTTTATCATGAAACATCTTAAAATCTTACTGATGAATGATCTTAACTGAATAGAGAAGCTCAGTATGTGCTCTGCCTTCTTCAATGCTATGGGGTGGGACACGGAGTGGGAGACTGGGTCTAGTTATATATTCCCAGGTGACTCTGAACTTTCACATCCTGCCTATTTCTTCCTGTTCAAAAGTAAAAGGATTATTTAATGCACAGAACTTAAATAGGACCTCATGATGACAAACGCAGGTTTTCTAAGGCCATGAATATCTAATTACAGATATTAATACTCTAAGCTACACTTTCTCTACACCAGGAACCAACTCTAGCTCCCACGCCTGAGGAAGACATGGAAGGCAAATGATACCTTCACAGCAATGACTGGTTTTCTCCTGAATTGTCGGGCACTATATATTTGATGCTCACAGGAGTTAATAAGTAGGTTAATTGAACAGTGGGTACAAGGCAGTTCCCAAACTAACTTTACTGTTAACAAACTGGTATAAAACCCAAGAGAAAATACTATTTCAGTTCCGGGTACACATGCCCATGCTTTCTTCTTTATTGGGATCTGCTTCTTTTGTCCAACAACTTCTGATGAACTCCAAGGTTAATTGTGTAACACTACCAGGGCCCTGCCCATTGAAAAGACTTATTTTGGAATAAGTAAACAAATTCTTTTTCTGTACCAAAGACCAAAGTTGTCATTTTTCTTTTTTGTTTTTGTTCTTCTGTTTTTGTTTTGTTACTTCCTTCTTTCAGTCAGCTATAAACTTTCTCGGGTAAGTAAAGTTACGAGTGACTAGCAAAAGCAAAGGTCTCTGTAGGCTGGAGCACAGTGCAATGACTAGGTAATTAAAGAGTCACCTATTTAACCCTTTTCTCACTGAGGTTACGAAAGATCCATAACCAAACTATGACTTTACAAGTGTCTTTGGCATATAGCTTCGCTTCTTTAGGTATGCCCCAAATAGACCACTGCTGAATCAAGAATTCCTTTCCACACATTAAAAAGAGGTTCCATGGGCAGATGTTTTCAAGGCAATGTGTAAACACTTTAGAAAATTGGACCAAAACAGAGGATGCAAAACAAGAGCGAGCAATGAAAAGCTACTTTTGAAACGTCCATCTCTTTTACCATTGAGAAAATAATATATTCTATTGCTTTCCTTTCTACATTGCACTTTATTTATTTGTTTTAAAAGATTTATTTCTATTTTTTATGTGTATGAGTGTTTTACCTATACAAATGTTTGTGTACCATGTATATGCCTGGTACCTATGGAGACCAGAAGATGGTTCCAGATTCCCTGGAACTGGAGTTACAGAGGATTGCGCCCCTCCACGTGGGTGTTAGGAAATAAAACCAGAGGTACTCTAGAGGAGCAGGAAGTACGCTAACCATTGAACAATCTCAATAGTCTCTGTTCACTTTGCCTTTAATGTTCTGGAGGTTTTTTTTGGAGTGCTGGAACACGGGCACCAAATTCTCCCTAAAATCACAAGTTCTATGATCTCTTGCACTCTTTCCAAGCCCATCAGACAAAATCAAAGACTCTTTTGAGTTTGGCATGGGCTGTCTATTTTATGTTCTTGTTTTTTTTTTCCTCTTCTAATTCTAATCCCATATGTTTATAGTTTCAGTATTCACCTGTATACTCCTGTATTTTTTCAGTTTTAATATTCAGCCACACACTCCTGTATCTTTGCAATTTGCTTTTGAGAAAGCTGTGAGTCTTCTTCAGTAAAAAAGAATGCATCTCCTCACATTTATCTTCGGGAAGCAGGATGTTTCAGAAAATTGTAAAATTATCTGCAAACCAGCAGTCTGTCCCTCAAAGGTTATCAAAATGTCCCTTCGTGATGCAAAGAAACTGAATTTAAGAATCCGGATGGCCTAAAAGCCTTGACGCCTTTCACTGCTTTGCAGTGAGTTGTTAAAACGTGTACAACTTCAAGCAGGTAGTTTTGAAATGTGGTGTGAAGAACTGGGCCTCCCAAGTTGCTGGATCGGCAGCCATCTTGTTTTCCCTGGCTGTTCTCCAATAAGATCCATTTGAGAGCTGCAGACTTCTGCCACCATGTGGCTAAACTTTCTTTGAGCAAATAAAATTCAGCTTTCTTCAAGCAGGCCTGCACCATGCATTATCTCCTTTATGGACCAGTTCAAATAAATGACCCTGATAAGCCAAACATTTCTGTTTTTGAATTCTCAGTGTTACTAACTCATCTACTGTTCTTCTCTGCTGGATGATTGCTCCTTTAGCTGAAATTAAACTTGGGAGGCTCCTAAGCTCTCAGGGAGGTTTTCTTCTTCTTAGTGTTATTTGATACACGGTTTATCTGTGTAGTCCTGGCTGTCCTGGAACTGGCTCTGTATACCAGGCTGTTCTGGAACTCAGAGATCTACCTGCCTTTCCCTTGCCTTCAGGGCCAGGAAGGAGAGAACCCAGAAACCACAGAACGAGAGCCGCTCTGGCAGCTTGGAGCTTCCATTTTCCTGTTACCCTGATGCATGTAGGATGACCTCTAGTCCTCCATTTATATTTCATTCATGTGTATGTAGATGTCTCTGAGTGAGTTTGTGTGTACACCTGTGCATGCAGGTTTCCCACAGAGGCCAGAAGACATTAGATTCTCCTGGAACTGGGCTTATAGGTGGGCTTGGGTGCTTGAAGTGGGTGCTAGCAAGTGAACCTGGATCCTCTGCAAATAGAGCAGGCACTCTTAACCACTGAGATCTCTTTAGCCCCTAAAGCTATTTTTAAAATATTTACATTTTATTTACCTATATGGATGAGTGTTTTGATTGCATGCATGCATGGGTGCTCTACATGCATGTCTGATATCCATGGAATCTAGAAGGGGGTTTCAGGTGGTTTGGAGTTGCCATGTGGGTGCTGGGAACTGAACCTAGTAGCCAGCACTTGAAACACTGAGAAATCTTATTTCATGCTCTCTTACTTGTGACATCAACAAAATGCTTCCTTTCTTTCAGCTTTATGATACCTGTTAAGAGTAGCTAATATTACTTATTACTTGCCCCTGAAGACTATTTTCTATGATAAATTTCATATATTTAGTTCATGGTGGGATCTCAATGATTGAAAACTGAAATCTCAATGGGCATACACATGCCACAAAACCTTTCTTTATATATATTTCATACAAACAATATACAAATACTTTTAAATATTAGTAATTAAACAATACACAATCTATTATTTCAATTAATTGCCACAATATAAAGGCCAGTATAATTATATTCTGTAATCTGCGGGAAGGGCAGATTACAGAATATAATTCTGAGTCTCTTGAGATATGTGTTTATCATTTCCTTTTTTCCTGTCTTTTTCCCCACAAATATCTTAAAATATGGTTCAATTTCCCTGAGTGTTGTCTGTACTCCTTTGAAACTTGCCTTTTCATGTACATTGATGAATTTAGCCACATAGCACATTTACTTTTAATACAACATATTATTTAATTGTATAAATATTACAGTTTAATCCCTGTCTAGCCAATGGCCATTAGAATTATTTCAGAAATTTCTTGTTATTAAAAATAATGGTATGAACACAGTTATATGTTTCTTAGACCACATATCCCAGAATTTCCAGGAGCAGAAATGCTGGAACACAGGCCCATTCTTACCATTATCAGATGTCTAATTGTGTACGGACTACACATAAAACTGCTTTTATATTTTATACTAATCACATTCCTGCCATATATTATACTTCTATGACTTCACATAAGTATCAATGATATACTGGATTCACCTAACTCACTGAGGAATTATCTTTGATTTGTCTAGTATAGAAACAATCTATACAGCAAACCATATATATATAGAAACAAACTATACAGCAGGGAGCGCTGTTGTTACAACAGTTGCTAGAGTGTATCTCTGAACCATAAATCTGATGATTTCATTAATTAGTTTTGGGGAATGGTTTTAAAAAGCTTATTCAGTTTTTCAAGAGTGTGAATGTAGATGTGGTGAATAATCAACATTTGGTTCTGCTAATCTCTTTTTTATATTGTCCATTTCAAATATTTTATTATTTCCCTTCCTTTGAATTGTTTGTTCTCTGCCTACATTTTAGATGATTATCTTCCTAATTTCATTCTTTTCTAGTTCCTACAAATACTAGATAATTGCCATTTATAACTGCTAATTTCCTTTGTTTTCAGTTACACTCATTTCTATTTGCTTCATTTGTCCTATACTTTAGAAGTATTTTTTAAAATCTAAGTTAGTGACATATGTGGATGATAATGAACTTTGTGTTGATGTTATAGTTTGAATGTGCCATGTCCCCTTAGGCTCATGTGTTTGAACATTTGATCTGCATTTGTTGATGTTGTTTGGAAGGCTGTGGAACCTTCAAAAGGTGAAGCCCTGATGGTGGAAGTGGGTGACGGGGAACAGGACTTGAGGTTTCAGAGCCTGACCCAATTCCTGTTCATTCTCTACTTTCTGACTCTGGATTCAGTTTGACTAGTTTCATGGTCCTCTCATCATGCTTCTTCCCCCTCTGCCATATCTTCCTCATCACAATTGCTTGCATCCTCAGAAAACACAACAGAATAAGCCTTTTCTCCTTAAGTTGTTTTTGTCAGGGTATTTTATAACAGCCATGAGAAAGTAACTAAGAGCTGCTTTCTGCCTTTATTGTAGTGTAATATTTGATGGCTACTGTGTCTTTGGTATTTGGAAGGCAGCTATGCTCACCACCATACCACCAACGCCACACCACCTGTGGTATTTGGAATATCAGTATTGCACCCTGGTTATGCTTATTGAAAGTTCTATAGCTGTTCCATTTATGTTCGACAAGAAGGTGCACTAAATTAATTATGTAATATTAATTAATAGCCTACCCATCAGAATTTAATCTATTGTAGATAGT